AATGGATAAAAGACTTAAATGTAAGCTGTGAAACCATAAAACTCCTAGAAGAAATCACAGACAGCAAAATCTCAGACATCTCTCATAGCAATATGTTTGCTATTACATCTTCTGAGGGCAAGAAAAACAAAGAGAAAATAAACAAATGGGACTACATCAAAATAAATAGCTTCTGCAAAGCAAAAAAAAAAAAAAAAAAAAAAAAAAAAAAAATCAACAAAATGAAAAAAGAGCCCACTATATGGGAGAAAATATTTGCCAATGATACACCTGATAAAGGGTTAATTTCCAAAATATATAAGGAACTCATAACTTAACACAATGAAGACAAAAATTCCAATTATCGATAAAAATGGGCAGAGAACCTAAATAGACACTTCTCCAAAGCTGACATACAAAGAGATGGCCAAGAGACATATGAAAAAATGCTCAAAGACACTGATCATCAGAGAGATGCAAATTAAAACAATGAGGTATCACCTCACACCTGTCAGAACAAATCACCAAATGACAAATGCTGGTGAGGATGTGGAGAAAAGGGAACCCTAGTACACTGCTGGTGAGAATACAGACTGGTGCAGCCATTATGGAAACCGAGTTTCCTCAAAAAATTAAATATGGAACTCCCATTTGACTCAGTGATCCCACTTCTAGGAATATATCCTAAGAAACCCCAAACACCAATCAGAAAGAATTGTATGCAACCCTATGTTTATAGCAGCACAATTTACAATAGCTAAGATCTGGAAACAGCCCAAGTGCCCATCAGTGGATGAGTGGATAAAAAAGCTATGATACAATTATACCATGGAGTACTATGTAGCAGAGGAAGGAAGGAAGGAAGGAAGGAAGGAAGGAAGGAAGGAAGGAAGGAAGGAAGGAAGGAAGGAAGGAAGGAAGGAAGGGAGGGAGGGAGGAAGGAAGGGAGGGAGAATCTCTTACCCCTTTGAGACAGCATGGAGGGACCTGGATAGTATTATGCTAAGCGAAAGAAGCCAGTCAGAGAAAGACAGATATCACATGATCTCACTCATAGGTGGAATCTAATGAAAAAAAATAAGGTGTTGAACAAAATAGATCCAGAAACATAGAAATATGGAACAGACTGTCGAGGCTCAGTGGGAAGAGATCAACTAAAGAACTTGTATGCATGAATGCATAACCCATGGACACAGACAATAGGGTGGTGAAGGCCTGGGGAGGAGAAGCAGATACAAGAGAAGTTCCCTGCCCTCTCCCTATCTGCCTAGAAGCAGGTCATGTATTTGGAAAGGTGACGCCCTCCCCTTCTCTATCAGATGGACAGAAGTTAACCACTGGATATAACTCCTGACCTTACAAGCACCACAGGAGTCAACATAACAAACCTCGCTAAAATTAGCCCTTATCTTCCATTAGTTCCCACAGTCTGTCAGCCCTGGAAGCTGAAAGTCATTTTCCTTTGTCTTGTCCTGTCTCTAAAAATGTCTTGTTCTTGTGTTATATAAGCCCAAATTCTAACCACCCCTTTGAGTTTCTCCTGGTTGAGTGCTTCTATATATATATATATATGTGTGTGTGTGTGTGTGTGTGTGTGTGTGTGTGTGTGTGCGCGCGCAATGCATATGATAATACATTTTTCTCTTGTTAATCTGTCTTTTGTCAGTCTAATTTAGGGGTGTCGAACTCAATCAGAGAAGGGGCCAAAATCTAAAATCCAGCCTAAATCGCGGGCCGAATGGTTTACTGAACAGTCATAAACTGTCATTGTGATGGAAACGCAGCGGAGTGCAGTGATGGCAGCGCGGTGCGGGCCACATTGCAAGGCCTGGCGGGACGGATTTGGCCCGCGGGCCTTGTGTTTGACACATGTGGTAATTCATAGGGTCCCAGCCAATGAACCTAAAATGCAGAGGTGGTAAATTAAGCTCTTCCTCTTCTACACCTCCCAGTGTAACTTTAGAAATAGGATACTTCAATGAACCAACTAAGATGCTGACTAAAGTGCTATTAACCCCAAGAGATCATCAGAAAGGAATATGCATCTTTAGGGTATTTAGCCTCCCCAATTAGGAACATGAAGTGAATCTCTTCCTGTGTGTTACGTAGTCAGGTTTTATAGCTTTCTTCATGTAGGCCTTCCTCGTTACTTATTACTTTTAAATCACATTTTCTGTTTTTAGTTCAGAATGCAAACTCCTTCTCATTTATCTTTTCTAATTATTTTACATACAATATTAATTTCACATCCAGCTGCCTTCTTGAATTCCTTTCTTGAATGAATCTCCATTCATTCCTATAAAATGAAATCAATTATCTCTCCAACAGTGTCAGAAAATTGTGTGTGTGGCGGTGAGGACGGGACAAGGGATTCAAGTTAGATACTCACCTATCTGGTGTGTTTTGGCATACACCCAAACAAATTACAAAAAGATTTAAGTTTAAAATTTAAAATTAATAATAAAACCCTGAGAAATCAGCGTTAAATATTTAACTAATTTGGGGATGAATAAAGATTTTCTGGACATAAAAGGAACAGGAAAAAAAAAAAAAACACCAAGGAACATAAAGATTTAGTTATATTATGTTCAATATTTTCCAATGAGCAAAGAAAATTAGTAGAAAAACATCAAAATGTGAAATGCATTTGGAACAGATGACAGTTAAATAAGCAAATAAAACGCTCTGATAAAATCAATAAGACAAAAACCAATTCATACCCAATAGGAACATGGACAGAAGAAATAAATGGAATGTATCAAAAACCAATTTACATATAAAATATTCAACCGCACAATCCAATTCAAGTTGAAATGAGAGAGCTTTTTTGTGGTGCATTCAAATAGCAATGAAAAAAGGAAAAGCAAAGATACGGTGCATCTAGCCCAAAAGCTCAAGCCTGTTTGATGATGAAAGCATTATGACAGGAATATGGAGTGTTATAACCTTTTTGGAAAGCAGGATGTTAATCTGAAGTAAAAGCTTAAAAACAAAATCACAGCACAAACATGTATTTGTGAAATACTAAGAGATATAGGCAAAAATTATGCATAAAGATGACCATAATAATATCATTTATAATAACAACTGGAAGCAACTGCAATGCCCCCAAATAAAGGAACAGTTAGTTTGGTATATCCTTACGAAGAATACCTAATGGCTTGAGGAAAACTAGTGATCTATCAACTGAAAAAATCATCACACAGACATAAGAAGAAGGGAAGAAATACACAAAATGTTAATAATGGATATATTTGGAGAAAAGAATTATGGATACCTTGTATTTCACTCTTTACACTCTGAGGAATTTTTCAGATGTTCTATAGTAAATATATTGTTACTTTTAAAAGGAAACACAAAAAGGGTTAGGTAGCCAATAGATAAAAATACGCCATCAAGTAGTGTTAAGAAAATTTTCAGAAACAAAGCGGAAAAAAACAAAACAAAAAAACAACAACAAACCCCTCCCCCGACACACACCAAAAAAAACACCAGTTTTTAAAATCAACAGACTTACAGCCAAAACTGGTTTGGCTCAGTGGATAGAGGGTCGGCTTGGGGACTGAAGGGTCCCGGGTTCGATTCCGGTCAAGGGCATGTACATTGGTTGCGGGCATATCCCCAGTAGGGGGTGTGCAAGAGGCAGCTGATCGATGACTCTCTCATCCATATTTCTAACTCTATCTTTCTCCCTTCCTCTCTGTACAAAATCAATAAATATATATATTTTAAAAAATCAACAGACTTACAGAGGATGTTTTATATTTCATAACTGAAAAATTTTCTTCACATGACCAACACTATTAAAACACTTTTTAAATACAAGAGCAACTAGCCGAAACCGGTTTGGCTCAGTGGGATAGAGCGTCGGCCTGCGGACTGAAGGGTCCCAGGTTCGATTCTGGTCAAGGGCATGTACCTTGGTTGCGGGCACAACCCCGGTGGGGGATGTGCAGGAGGCAGCTGATCGATGATTCTCTCTCATCGATGTTTCTAACAACTCTCTATCCCTCTCCCTTCCTCTCTGTAAAAAATCAATAAAATATATTTTTTTTTAAATAAAAGGAGCAACTACCTAACTTTTAAATGTCTACTCCGGCCGAAACTGGTTTGGCTCAGTGGATAGAGCGTCGGCCTGCGGACTGAAAGGTCCTAGGTTCGATTCTGGTCAAGGGCATGTACCTTGGTTGCCAGCACATCCCCAGGGGGGCATGTGCAAGAGGCAGCTGATCGATGATTCTCATTCATGTTTCTAACTCTCTATCCCCCTCCCTTCCTCTCTGTAAAAAAATCAATAAAATATTTTTTTTTAAAAAGAAAAAATAAATAAAACACTTTTTAAATAAAAGGCGCAACTAGCCGAAACCGGTTTGGCTCAGTGGATAGAGCATCAATCAGCCTGAGGACTGGAGGGTCCCAGGTTCAATTCCGGTCGAGGGCATGTGCCTTGGTTGTGGGCACATCCCCAGTGGGGGGGTTGGTGCAGGAGGCAGCTAATCCATGTTTCTCTCTCATGGATGTTTCTAACTCTCTATCCCTCTACCTTCCTCTCTGTAAAAGATCAATAAAATATATACACTTTTTTTTGCCGAAACCGGTTTGGCTCAGCGGTAGAACGTTGGTCTACGGACTGAAGGGTCCCGGGTTCGATTCCGGTCAGGGGCATGTACGTTGGTTGCAGGCACATCCCCAGTAGGGGGGTGTGCAAGAGGCAGCTGGTCGATGTTTCTAGCTCTTATCGATGTTTCTAGCTCTCTATCTCTCTCCCTTCCTCTCTGTAAAATAATCAATGAAATATATTTTAAAATATGAATATATATATATATATATATACATATATATATGTATATATATATATATATATAAATATATGTGTGTGTGTGTGTGTGTGTGTGTGTGTGTGTGTGTGTGTGTATACACTTTTTAAATAAAAGGAGCAACCACCTCACTTTTCCCTGCCTGCTGGGCAGTACAGCCCCACACGGTCCCATCCCATCCATGGTCCAGGAGGGGCCGCTTACCTTTCTCACTTACGCTCTCGCTCTCGATCTCCACGTCGTCGCAGCTGGTGTACTCGGGCGTGGAGGCCAGCTCCTCCTCGGAGCTGCTGAGGGACACCTGGCGCATCTTGCCCCCCTTCTTGGACTTGTGGGGCCGGGGCGGGGGCGGCCGCACGGACTCGGACTGGTCGGAGCTGAGCGAGTCGTTCCTGAGCATCGTCTCCATCTTCTCGCGCTTGGTCTTCCTGCCGCCGGCGGAGCTGGGGTCCAGGTGCTGCTGCTGCTGCTGCTGCTGCCTCCGCAGCGGCTCGGCGGCGGCGCGCCGCGGGTCCTGCCGGTGGTCCATGGGGATCGGGCTTCTGCGGGGCGTCGGGGGGCTGTGGTTTGTGGTCCTGGGTGGATAGGACGACGCCGCCGAGCCGGGCCCCTGCGCCTCTCGAGTCCTCTCCATGGAGTAGGAGCGCTGGCTCTCCAGGGCGGCTCTGCGCTCGGACGCGGACCTCTGCCTGGCCGGCCGCTCCGTCCTCTCCATCCTCTCCGTCCTCTCCATCCTCTCCATCCTCTCCATCCTCAGCGAGGCCGCCCTGGCGTCCTCCAGCTCGGCGTTGGCCAGAGACACGTCGCTGTGCCTGCGCTCGTGCCGCGCGCGGGACACCTCGGCGTGGATGCGCATCTGCTCCTCGTAGGGCTGCGGCTTGACCGGGTAACGGGCCAGGTTGGGGTCGCTGCGGTAGCGCGCCTGGTACTCCTCCTCCTCGCGCCTCTGCCTCTCATAGTCCTCCCTGCTCTCCAGGTCCTCGTCATCGTCGTACTCTTTGGCGTGCCGGTGGCCCCTCCGGCCGGGCTCCCTGTAGCTTACGGGGTCCGATGCTTCGTAGAACGGGGGCTCGCGCGGAGGCCGCCGGTCGGCGTAATCCGATGGAGACCTGGGCATGGCGCTGCCCGCGGGCGCATACTGCGGGTCCTCCTCCCTCTCCTCCCGCGGGGCGTACCTTCTGTTCTGGTCTCTGGACACGGACGGACTTCTTTTCCTAAGGGATGAGAAGAGCCACGTTTAAGAAAAGAAAAGAAGGGATGAGAAGAGCAGCGTTTACATAATTCTACGTTTTATTGATTCACAGAGAGGTGGATGGATACATTCAAATGGTCCTTTAGCTCCTTTAAAAAAAAAAAAAATTCATTTCAAAGTCACGCCAAAACAAAAGTGTTACTTCTATGTATTCTATGGAGTTCAAATAGGAAACGGAAAGGGTACTTTGGACGCGGTTATTAAAACACGGATACACTACATAGGAAATGTACTCATTGGGAACTTAGGTAACCATCACATGCTGTTGCTGGAAAACAGACTTTATTCTCCTTTCCTTGCCTGGCTCCAACTTCAGCTGCCTCCCAACCTGTTATTCAGAAACTTAAAAAACAAACACACCCATCTTCCTTCTCTCCATTCTGACATCTTGGTGTGAAAGTTACTTAAAAAAAAGTAATGAAGTCAAACGGACTTGGCTCAAGAATTGAATACTCTCTAACTAAAGCGAAGTGTTGGCCGCTAAGTGAAATAAGCCAGTCAGAGAAAGACAAGTATAAGATGATCTCACTCCTCGGTGGAATCTAGTGAACAAAATAAACTGGCAAACAAAACAGATCCAGAGACACAGAAGCATGGGACAGACTGAAGATCCTCAGAGTCTTAGGGGGTCGGGGGTGGAAGAGATGTAACTATTATATGTTAATTTGGCTCTTGTTTTGGGCTACAAAAACCAACTCTTGTTTATAAAATGACTTTTTTGGCAAAATATATTTTGAGTATCAATCACTTTACAACTAAACATTTAGAACAAAACCTTCTTGCAACTTAGGGGTGTCTAGTAATATGTTATATTTAACATCTAGTAATGTATTTAATATCTAGTAACATGTTTAACATCTACTATTATAGGACAGAAGTAGAACAAAAAATAAAACAAAATACTTCAGTCCCTGAGGAATTAACATGAATTTTTGAAAGTAAGTAGGACATAAATGTAGTGAGTCTTTAATAACACAAGGAATATATTCCATTTATTAATAAATAAGAATATTTACTTAGATAATTCGGTTCCAGTAAAAAGACTATTAACAATTAATTAGTCCTTAGCAAGTCATATACTAGTAAGTGCTTTTTAAAAATCATACCTTCAATAAATTGAATTCAGTATTAAATCCAGCAATCACTTTGTTCTAGAGATTATGAAATTTGCCTGAAACATGTGAATCATACTGTAGATAGTGATTTGTACTGGATTTAAGTAAAAATAGTGTATTTAGCAGTATCCATGCAGTATAAAGCTTTAAAAAAGATGTATTTTTTCAGATTATTGATTCTTTAAATGTTATTCTATTTTTCCTATGGTCATAATTTCTGAAATTGGGATAACTATTGTCATTGTTACTTATCATGGAATTAGGTTTCTAAAAATATGGTTAAGTTACCTTACAGTATATTAAAGATATGCTAGAAGCAAAGTAAGATTTTATTCTAAAGAATATTCTTATAAACAATGAAGAATCTAATATTAGTTACTCCAAAATATTAAAATACCTTGTCAAAACAATTTCTAACAACTATAGTGTGTATTACTGAATATTCTACTTGGACATATTTTTCAGGAATTGATGAAAATTCAACTGCTGTATCTCTAATCTCTAGCTTCGCTACTGGTTTTTATAAACAAGCCTTAGTATTTATTATTTTCAATTGGGAAGTATTTTATAGGTAAAATAATATAATGATAATTTATAAACTTCCCTAAATAATCATGAAGCATTTAACAGTATTTAATCCATAAATTATAATTCAGAAAAATGGAGCAACTCATATAAGGTATTATATTTCACTTAATCCTTCAAAGACTATGAAAACTTAAGAGGCAGAATCCAAAATTATGCCTTTTTTTAGGATAAAATATATTTGTGACCTTATATAGTGCTTTAATATTTATGCCAATACATTTTATCAATCCCAATTTCTGACCAATATGATATCAGTATATATTTATATTCACTTTATATTAACCTAATATCTTTTCATCTTCTTTCTATTAAAACCTAGATTGTTAGAATCTTTTTCTTTTTCACTATATTATAGTCATCTTAATTGGAACAAGTTTATAGAAAACCTCATATAGAAATATACTATTTCTACTTTAATCAGAAGCATTTCTGTTCATTGTTTATAACTGTTGTAATATGGACTAACCACCAATCTGCATATTTCTAAATATTCTGGCTATGTAGTCACACTTAACTGGATAGTTTGAGCAGGAAACTACCCATCAGTCTCTTTAAAATTCCATGTTTAAAAATTATACTGACTGATGGGGAAACTCTAAATGAAAAGATTCTTTCTCTATTAGAGTCTCTTTCCTAATTTCCCAAAGGCAGTCTCAATGCATATACTGTACAGTAATTCATTTCATTTTTACCATAGTTTCTATTTTAATATTTACAACATTTATATTCTTATGTGGTTTCTGTTATTATACCACTGATATATATCAATACTGATCACACATATACTATAAAATAATCAAGTTTCTGAAAATATAATCCAGTAAACATGTAAAAACTTTTATAAGGACAGTGAATGATTAGATGGAAACTTAAGTGTTAATATTCATGTTTTTAAATTTTAAGACCTATGTAACTTTTTTAAATCATAAGGACACTAAAAGTAGAGTGAAGAATTAAAAATTAGGAATTTCTGTAAATTCAAATTTTATATTATTACAGTTAAGTGCTATGTATATGAAAATGTCTTACTCATAATCTTTATTATAGAGCTCATTTAAAAATTGTCATTTTATAAATGAAAAAATAGAACAACATTTAAAGAATCAATAATCTGAAAAAATACCATCTTTTTTTAAAGCTTTCTGCATGGATACTGCTAAATACACTTAAATGATACCTCATTAATTCAATTACACATGCTAACCATCTAGTTTAAACATAACATTGCAATCAAGTGGTGAAATTTGAAGCTGTTAAGACACATTAAATCAAGGATTTAAAAGAAGCATGCGATCCTGTAAAACGTGAAATATATAGGGTCTGTTCCTATAATTCCTACAAAAAGCTTTTAACGAATCAACCATTTATATTCATTAAAACCCATAAAACAGATTTATCTTTTATTACATATCACAATATTTAACACATTAGTACAGTTTTACCTTTTGCTCAACCAACGCACATCTGTCGAGCACGAAGCATCATGTTGACAAAAATGCATGAACACAGGGCCAGGCGGTGCTTTCACTTAATCCTTCTAGCTCTAGCAAAACCACAGGAGCCATCCTTAATCAGATGATTTCAATGTCTCTGTTTGCTTACCATCGTTTTATTTCAAAAGCCAATTACTAAAAAGTTACACATAAAACAACATGCATTCATGGATGGAGACATAAAACCCTCTAGGAACGGGCCTGTTAAGGAAAATGTTATTCTTTAATGCTGTCACCATGTGACTGTATATAGCTCCAGGTCAAGTGAGAATGTACCCTGTAAGGAGGATTATGGTACTTAGCTGATTAGTGCCTCACAATACTGAACACCAAATGCATCCTACATCCTAGGCATTTCTAGACAAAATACTCAAAACACACAGACTCGGAAATTTGTAAGCCATGTTCTCCTACATGAATTATAATATTTTTACAATAGCAAAATTCATTGTGTTTGTTATTGATGAGTCTACTACACTGCTTTTCCTATGAAATGTATACTGGTAATGAAATATGATGGTTTAATAGGTCTATTCTATAATTTCTTTTCCATTATTCAAGAGAATGTTTCCCCAAAGGGGTTATGGGGGCAGCAAGTAGTTGTTTCTGTAGAAATTTTATGAAAAACTGTGTTTTATAAACTGAAAAGTTGGTTAGACACTGAGTTTAAACCAAGCTTTGCTTATTCTAATTTATCACTTAACCTCTCAATGCCTCGTCAATCATTCAAAAAATAAAAATAAAAACAGAAAAGAAGGTAACACCACAGACGCCCTTTATACCTAAAGCCAATTATCTAGATGTTACTATTACACTTCTGAAAGTTATATTTAAGTATTCTAATACACTTAAATAAAACTAAGAAGAGGCCAGTGTTGGAAGAGTGAGGAGTGTTGCACTGTTTTCTGGTCTCCTGAATCTCACATTTAAACGAGGATCTAGGCATATGCGGCAGCACCATTCAACCATTTGTGCCGTATTCACACAGAATATTTTCCCAGAATGAAGTATAGATCTTGGAGAGATTGTGAGAGGTGTGAGGACAAATAAAGGCCTTTCTCCCCTCTGGGATTCCTAAAAATGTAGATTCTTGAAGCAGAAATGCAATAAAAAATCAAGATCATTCATTTTCATAGGAATGTTAACCAATAATAAAGTCCAACCATTTACATCCCATAGTTTTAATAAACTGAAACAAAAATCCCACAGAAGATTTTGATTCTTTCAAGCTGGTAAGTCCAGAAGATTTCAGAAACAACACTACAGTATTAGCCAAAATGCACACTACTTATTTTTCTTATTTGTATTTTACCATGACAAATAAATTCACAAAATACTACTCTTAAGTAAACAAGCAAAAGATGTGCCTTCAAAGCATGAATCTTGAAAATATCAACCTCTTCATTCTCCAGAATACTGAATCTCTTTTGTGCTATTTGGTTCATTTGTCAGAGTGACTTGGGAATTTAAGTGGTTGTTTTCAGTGATGTAGAGAAAACTACATTGCTTGACAGAGGGAGAGATGAGGAGTTAAAGAAGAGCTGTTTCTTAGTAACAGAACAGCATGAATCTTTGAAAAATAGACCTGCAGCTCTGCCAATTAGCCTGTCACTAACCTGCATGAGAATACAACTCAATCAAATTATTTCAGAGAGTGGCAGGTACAAAGAAAGCGCTTGCTAAACAAGATTTTTCTTGGAAGAGAATTCATAGTAACAAATCAATACAGTATCCTTTGGAGCAACTAATGACAAAAAAACAACAAC